GATCCCCCTCATGAAAATGCGAGGAAGACCAACATTCATACGGTTAAAAGCTTTCCTTTAATTCCACTTCGTCATCGTCGCAACATTCGTATTAACGGACCTAAGGAAAAACATCGAGAATTCATACCATGTACCATTCTAAGTCAGGGGTGAGTTCTGCTTTGAATACATCTTATGATTGCAGTTGTCTTTTGCGTTCGTACTGCAGGTGCTGAAAATACCCCGGTAGCCGTTCTCTGCTGGTATGCGAGAGCTTTACAATTCAGTTGATGAGTTATACATTCACTGTGTAATTAGTTTATATCATAATATATAGTTACGCAATGTAGACTGTCATAACGCAGCGTATGTTTATTTTTGGTCTCCCAACGCAGACCAACCTTTTCGGTCTTCAGAGGACGCTGATCGTCTTTGCTCAATCTCTCGGACTGAGGTTTAAATAACCGTTTGTTTCTGAAAGATTCATTTTTCTTGTATTTTAATTCATTTCCCAAATTCCGTCATATTTCCCACAAATCAAAGCTAGATGTTTGTTTTTTTTTGAAATGCATCTGTTTCATAAACGGTTTTGTACATAAGCATTAAGATGCTCGTTTCGTCCATTTTTTGGCTCAACATTTTGTGTTCGATTTTATAAATCGTTTGCAGATATATTCACTCATTTCATTTAGATCCTTGATCTTTCCGACGAATGTGTGCCGTACGTGTCGAACTGGATGAAGGCGAAAATCTTGCGTTATAACTCTGGGTCTAATGAAGTAGCGCTGCAAAACTTTACAAACCAATGCATGTCTTAATTTGCATTTATCAGTTATTAATGATTTAAATCTAAAAACATTTAGATAAGCAAAAGGTTCCGACAAAGTTCAGACTCGAAGAAGATAGCGAAAACGAACAAGAGGAACAGCGTCGTGCCGCTGACGCTTGTAGCGGTTCGGTATGCTTTTGCCGTTGATTCACATACATGGCTGCAAATTCATTACTTGCAGGTGTTTTGTATTCCTTGGAATCAACTCATCACCCCAAAAATCGCTACAAAGTTTATCAACATTGATTAAGGAAATATTTTTTTTTGCGTTAACAACGTTGGGAAGAATTGTTTCCATGGCCTACATTAAAAATAAATCAGCTATGCATGATCGGCAAGCGTTTCTATATCTTCTACGTAGCTGCTGTCGCTGATCGATTTTTTGGTCAAGCCTTGGCGGGTGTTCTCGCGGAACAGAAAGGGCAGGTACAGCTCTGAGTCGTTGCTGTGTCCCTCGATGAAACTGTCGTCGTACGAGACGATCTCCCGGGCGACGCATCGCTGCGGTATGCTCAGCTCGAAACTGCCGTCGCCGGTCCTCAGACTCATCGAGTTACGGCGGCACTCGAGTATTTGATATAGTTCAAGGATGTGCGTTTCCTGGCGCTGACAGACAGACACCAGCGCGCGGTACCTCATTTGGATCGCCTCAATCTGCTCTTTGTGCAGCTCACGGATGTCGTCCAGCTGGCTTTTTAGTTCGTTAATCTGCATCTGCCTGTTCTTCAGCTGAGTCTCCAATTCGCTGACATAACTGTAGGCAGTTTCCAGTCGACTCTTGTCCCGACGAACGCAACGCCGCAGCTCGGCCGTCTCCTTGCGACAGTTGTCGATTACGTCTCTGCTGATCTGCTCCTTGTTCACTGTTGTAAACCATTCGTTCTTTAGCCGCCGACATTCGTGCTCCCGCACTGCTGCCA